ACGATTAAATGTTTATCATTGCTAAAGTAACACCATATTTTCTCAAGCCAATTACGTTAACTGCAGCCGAAGGACCCAAAAAAAACCGAAACTAATTTAAAAATACTTTATTATAATATAAAAAATACAATATAATTATTATAACTTAAAAGGTCGTGAATCAGATCGATGCTAGGTCTAGAATGGAATACAATTAATATAACAAAGATTAGGAAATCGAATATTGGCGAGCTCCGATTGCATCCATCGTGCCACTGGAATATAGGGGCCGCTGCTGTGAAGCCTCTTTACTTATTGGACTATGTTGTAACTAGCGTTAGACACTTTATCTTGCATAGCATTTATTTGAAATATGTATATAATTTTTATTGGAAGTATGATAACATTATCCTGTGTTGTAAGGACGTTTTACGAAAATAGATTTCACGTGGACAAACACCCAGATGCGAAACAGTTATTTGTGGGTCACACAAATAGTTGTCCCGTGTGGGAATCGAACCCACGACCCTCGACGCCGAAGCCAATACATTGGCCACTTCGCCACGGAGTCCTCAAAAATGTTAAACTGGTATGCGTTTATCTCGTATTAGTTGCAGAGTGGAATCTTCTCAATACCAGGGACTTTATGGCGCACAGCTAGCAATGTATCCCGGTATCGTAAAAATATGGAAAAATATTGTGTTTTTTTATATGTGATAATGTGGCAAACGAGCTGGCGGTTCACTTGAGGGTAAGTGATAACCACCGCCCATGGACCCAAATTTGCAAATGCGATGGCACCTTAAAATAAAGTAGGCCCCGGCTACTTCACTCACCAGACAAAATGCAGAAGTGTAACACTTCTACTTTACTTCATTCTTCTGTGAGGTCGTGGTACTTACCCGGACTGTCCTGCCCATTCGTGCAACAGTGAACACTGTTGCGTGGCCCTACCACAGTGTGGTGAATATCTTATTTTTCCAGTGTTTATATATGTATAACATGTATTTATTTACAAAAGAAAAGTATGTTTAAGTATGTTTATCAGTTGTCTAGTACCCATAGTACAAGCGTCGCTTAGTTTGGGACTGGAGAATGTTCTGTAAAAAATGTGTCTGAAAATATTTCTTTATTAAATCTAAATTAATTGATCTAGTTCAAAAGTCAGTCATGACTACTATTACATTCATAGAGTAGCCAATTGATTTCCCTGAAAACAAAAAAAAACATTTAAATGACGTATGCGAAAAAGCAAAGATTCTCATAGTGCGAAACACTTGTCAAAAGTTTCTTTCGTCGGTTCTTCTCAGGTCAATGACTTTTGATTTCTGAACCGGTAACAGTATTAACTGTGGTGGGGTCACGCACATCAGCGTCGGCTGTAGCATGAATGGGCTGGTTCATCCGGATAAGTACCATGACCTCACAGAAGATCGGCGTAAAGGGGAAGTATAATACTTTCGCGTTTCGTCTGGTGAGTGAGGTGGCCGGAGCCCAATTTTCAAAAGGCTGTCAACGCATCTGCAATCCTCGGGTGTAGCAGATGTCCATGGGCAGCGGTATTCACTTACCATCAGGTGAACCGCCTTGGCAACTTTTGGCATAAAAAAAAACTTCAGATGAAACGTTAAAAACGTGTAGAAAATAGTACGAAAACCTTTTTTACTATAAAAAAAAATACTAATAGCAATGGCGACATCTCTCGTTCCAATTATCGTTGTAAAACGATATTCGAAATTGTTTCTATGCTGTAATTAACTATATTTCGATTCTCACAGCGGCGAAAATATTTTGTAGTTCTTTCTACAAGTTTTAATATAACTGTCTTGTTACGCTTATTTACGTTAGCTTACTCTTAATTTACCTTACTTATCGTGATAATACGAGTATACGTATCAAACATATTTTAAATTTAAGTTAGTGAATAATGTTTTTTTATCTTATCGATACTTCCGCGGGGTTTCCCAAACCGTGTATGAAAATTCAGATAACCCTCTGACTTACAAATTATGTAAACACTGTCGGGTCTTAACCGACCAATTGTTACGATGGTAACGACACGCTGTATATGTACCTGGAGAACCGAGCTTAGCTCGGTTTTTTTGTTGGTAAATCGTGTATTTTGGAAATTAAAAAATAAAGAAAGATAATCTAGTATAGAAAAAAAAATAAAAAAAATTAGTGTGTAAATGATCGTGACATCAACCGCGGCTTGCTATTTCGGGGCCACCCGATTACCGACCGAGCTATTATAACATTTTTCATTCCCTGAAAACAGAATGGGATAAATCCCTGGGATAAAAGGACATTTTCTAAAAATGAAACCTATCTAGATCGATTTTTTTCATGAAAATCGCTGGAGCCGTTTCCGAGATTCCGATTATATATATATACAAGAATTTCTTGTTTAAAGGTATTAGATAATGTAAAGCGGAACAATTTTTAAAAGCCGCGCAGTATGGACATGCGTCATCTTTATTATTAAACATCATTGACAAATATCGATAGGAAGTCAATTTTTTTCAGAATTTTTGCGCCTAAATTTTACACATAAAACGATAGAACATCACGTAAGTAAAATGGAGTTCTACGTTATTAAATTGCTTCTTAAAGTTGTGCTACGCACTACCGAAGACATTAAATATTTTTTTTTCTTCTTTGTGTTCTGTCTAATTCCGTCACTTTTATTTTAACTTTCAATTAAAAAAAAAAAGATCATTGTACTTGATCTTAGATCCTCGGTTGTAATGAATAATGAATTTTTGGTTTTCATACATACAGACTGAACAGCCTCACATTTGAATCAGTGTGAATTGACAGACAAATCTAGCTCCGTAAAGTTTGAGATCAAATGAGCTCAGAGAAGCGTTAATAGAATAGCGTGGTTAGCTATTCCTGCTAGCACGATCACGGGATAGCCAAAGGTACCGAGTTGAAAGTTTAGATGTTGGTTAGAAATTACTTTCCCATTTGTAAATGAGACAAAGAGGGTACACAGTATTGCCATTAAACGAAACTTGCGAAGGCTTGCTAGTACATTAAAATACTCAGTTATAAAGGCTTATTGGAAACCAACGACAGCGTCGATGGCAAAACTCCTGACTACCATAGCTACATAAGTAATTTCTAAAAGTCAAACTCAAAATGTCTCTATTCAAATAGACGCTTGTGCGTACTTATAAAACGTCGAATTTTACATAAAAATTGACGCATAAGTTCGTAAATTATCACCGGTTTAGAAAGTGGTTTCTGTTGAGAAGAGACCGGCAAGAAACTAACCAGTTGTTCTTTTTTAAAAGTATCAGTTTACAATATTACATAGTACAGGTATAACAGTCTTATTTAAGCCTACGTAAGCGATCGCTTCGTCGTCGTTGTCGTCGTTATATTCCACAATGGTATAACATGCTTTAACCATAAGTTTACTTTTAATTTTACGTTTAAATTGATCAACTGGCAGACTTAATATAGACTGTAGAATTTTATTATACATGCGCACAGTTTTCCCCATGAATTTACTTTTTGCAGACAAAATAATAGCGTATTTAGTTTGTCCTTATTTCAAGTGTTTCATTTATGTCTGTCACTTTTCTTTAATTAATAATTAAGATTATGTCATATATCAAAATATTGCAATAAATGTATCGGTACGCAACAATGAGAAGATCTTTTTAAACAGATCTCGGAGAGTGTGTGGGAAATGAATGTTCTCCATCTTCACTAAGTTTTTTAGGCTACTTAAATTTCATATTTTTTAAATTCCGCTTGCACCAAAACAGAAAAGAACTACTGAAACAAATGCATCTTGTCACAAATTGAGACGCACTAACACCAATGCACGTTACAATAAGCCAGCAAACTTGGCAGATACAACAAACGATAAAGATAACCGGCAGCGAATGACCAGAGCCTTCTCAATTCCGGTGTCTATTTTGTCCGAATGGCATCCTGCCAAGACTGACACGAAGCGTAACATAACGTCTTAATAACCGTTATAACAAATCCCCCCATCAGATCTGTGCAAATCAAGACACAGCTTAACTGTGGAAATGAATTCTACCATTTTTAATCGAAGGTCGACAAAGACATGATGAAGAAAAGCTTCGTGAGTCTACGCAAACACTACACATTGTTAGACAAAACTCTTTTGACGGCCACGGGAAGCATTCGAAACCTTGAGAATAAATTGAAAGTTGTTGTTTTATCAAAATAAGTTTTACTTTTTGAATTTGTCACGAAATTTATTTTAGTTTCGGACCATACATATTTTTTTTACTTTTAAAATATGTTCCTTTTTATGCACTATGGTTTTCGTAAAGATACCTGACATTATGTTATATTTCTGTCATTATGTTCAAATTAAGGATTAGGATTATGCAGTAAAGCTTGAATACAACGTTTTTGCAGCGGGTAGTACTCTTTATAAAAGGAAAACTTACTGTATCTTGTATCTTGTATTAACTGATGTTTTTTCTTTCAGTCCCGAGACTATTAAAGCTTCATCTGACGCAGAACCGGTGGGCTAGCCAGAACCCACGGGTTTGGGAGGAAAACTAACTACTAACGTACATCTGCGTAGGCTGCACAAATGCAATATGCAGATGAAGATAGATTTTTTCAAAGGAATGAAAACTGAGAGAATGAATCACAACACCAGGATTACCTTACTAACACCATTTTTCAGTGAAGTAAGATTTAATTTTCATCAAGTTGTCTTATTAATGTGTCAAGAAAATATATAGAAAGTATATGACTTTATAAATGCTGAATTTATGTATTTGTGTGAGTAAATGACTCCTCGCTACGGTGTGTTACATTCTTAAAGTAATGAAGGTTTCATAAATGAAATTTGTTTTATATTTCAACCTATGTTTTATTTATATAATATGACAAAAATACAAATTTTAAGTCCGCTACTGCTACCGAAATTCGTGTCGCAAGCTACTAGGCGTGTGTAAAACAAACATGAGACTAAAGAAGGAATTATTACTATCTACAGGAAACCATCTTTCGCCTGATTAGAGGCGTTTAGGGTTAACTATAGAGGTGACGGGGCGTAACCCGAGGTAGTAGCGGAAGGCGCGATCGTTCCATCCGAAGCAGAAGCCCAGGATGACATGGCTGTCGCCGAGCAGCATCGCGCGGAATGTTGACAGCGGCATTTCGGCGATGTCCACGATCTTCAAACGCGACCTGATCGGCTGGAACTCGTCGCCAATCCGGCCCATGAACTGCTGCACGTCATCAACCCAGAAGTCCGGGTCGAAGTGCCAAGGTGCTCTGATGGTTCTGCGCTCCGACGGCCTCCGTACGTTCGTCACCTCCACCCAATTGTTGCCCTCCTCGTTGCCGTGGCCGCCGCTCAGTATCAATATCTCCCGTCCGTCCCTTAGCTTCAGCAATTCCCTCAACGGCGTCGTTATGTGATCGCCTTTGATCTGGCTGTCGGCACCGAGCTTGAGGGCTCCGTCGCGACTAGCAAAATGTGCCATTGTGGCGCTACCCGTTTGTTCACCAGGCGTTCTATCGGCGGGTCTTCGATGCCGGGGAATTCCTTGTCCGTGTACCGGAAGTGCTGCCCCGTCTGCCGTTTCAGACGGGTGGAGTTCAAGGTGTACTTTCGTTGGTCGCTCGTCGCCTCGATTGAGCTCTGTATCACACCTGGATTGGACGTAAATAAATTAGCGATCGCAGATCGTGAATTCAGATTGGCAATCAGATAAGAAATGTGGAAAGAAAACGGCCCCGAATAAATCGCGCAGTGCTTGACTGGCTGCTAAGTCTTAAACGGTCACGTGTTTTAAACTGAAAAATAATGTACGGGATGATATAATGAATTTGTAAATTTTTAAATGTTAAACGCGTTCCGCGATTCATTGCACAGATAAGTAGTCTAGATTATTTGAATATAAAAAAATTGAACATTGGATAGAAAATTTAAAATAGATTTGCTCCCTTTGTTATTTTAGAGCAAAAACAAATTTAAATCAATAGTTAACAAACCGTCGCGGATTTAAGTCGTAACCCATCCTGATAGACCATCCTGGTCTGAAGATAAAGATGCTATTAAACCATTTGATCCATCCAAACTTGATAAGTCTGTCTACGTATACATATCGTTTACGATATATGAGACAATTAAAGGGACGAGAGAGAGACACATGAGGCCTTTACAGTCATTCTTTTAAAAAGTAAGCGTAAGTAAAACATCAGAAAAACATGTCAAATTTAAATATTCCACGGTTAGCGTGAAGTAATTTGTTATTATCGACCTTTATTATCAATGTCTATCTATACGAAAAAAGGTAAGTAATAGGGCCGTGATAGCTCATTTTGCAGGCGATCGCCTTTAATCCATACTAATATTATAAATGCGAAAGTAACTCTGTCTGTCTGTCTGCCTCGCTTTCACTCCAAAACTACTGAACGGATTTAAATGAAATTTGAAAACTATTTTTTAATTGCAAAAAAAGTGTTGTAAAGGGTTGAAAGATATTTATTTAAGAGATTCAACGCGAGCGAAGCCGCGGGCGAAAAGCTAGTTAAATATACGCGAGCAACCTGAGTTCAATCCCCGGTGCTAGTACCGATGAAATTATTAATTTTAAGTGCTGACTCATCACGTGATAAAGGAAAACATCGCGGAAACCTGCACATTTGTGAAGTCCGCCAATCCGCTATGAGGCTGCATGATGAACTATGCCTTGATACTCTCTGTACAGAGGAGGCCTTTCCCGGCAGTGGGACATGTATAGGCTGTTATTTTCCTTTTTTTAATTGGGCCAAATTCAGTTACTTATTAATAAACAAATGAGTGAAATTAAACTTGTTTCATCTTATTTAGATCACGTATAATAACTTGAAATTTTTAACTAAATAAATAAATATGAAACATATAATATATATGTGTTTTTTTAAACTTCAAAATAAAATACGACAAACGAAACAAGCAAGTTGCGGTACTTTTAACACATGTAATGTGATTTATCTTACTTATCTTTTTAGAAGTTTTGTTAATTTTGACTTATTAAAAAAGTTATTTTATCCTTTATATTTATAACATCATAAATAATTATGAACAAAAAAAACCGACATCAAACAGGAAACTAATATAAGCCTATAACATTTGAGGATTGCCTTCGATTTCTCTGGGATGCCATCATCAGATCTGGGTTTCCATATCATGGTACCACCCTTGAGATATCTCCTTTCCAACAAAAAAAGAATCACCAAAATCGGTTCATAAATGGCGAAGTTATCCCCGAAAACACATAAAATAAAATAAAAATATACGATCGAATTGAGAAACCTCCTCCTTTTATGAAATCGGTTAAAAATAAAAACTAACCATTAAAAGTTTTAAATTTCAACAAAGTCAACTTACTTGATTCGACACAACAGAACACTACGGCGAGAAACAGTACTGTTAATTGGAACTCCATTTTACTCCCGCGATATTCAAGGGTCTTCGGAGGAATGGCATTTTTCCTACGAACCCCCGATATTTAAACAAGCGCCAGAAACAGATTAAACACAAACACAATAGATAACCAACAAGTCAAAAGGTTATCGAGAATATTTGCACGTTTTGGGAAACCCAAGAACAAGGATAGAATTTGGGGCGAAATAGGTTTATGAGGCGTTTAAAAACTCAAACTATTAAAAGTATTATAAAATATTTGCAAGTAAATAACTGGACGATGTTTCTAAAAATGTTTGTTAGAAACAACATCCCTGATTGTATTAAAATTCTGTACCAAGCGATCTGGTGTGCTTAAGTATCGAAGTCGATTTTTTGGTACCGATTTTGCGCCAGGGAAGCTAATAAAGACAAGCTATGGCGAGAAGCGACCTGGATTTCATCGTTTATTTTAACGTTTCACTTAACGACACAGAGATGGCCAATTATGCAACAGTAGCTGCTACTGCGTGGCACTTATGTGAGAAGGTGGGGAGGGAGCTCGCGGTTCACCTGATGTAAAGTGTTACACGCTCCCATGATGTCCATGTGAGCGTGCAACACCCGTAGGTAGGGTTGCATGCAGGGGTTTTATTTTTAACTTTTTAGTACTATTTTGTATTTTAATAAGTTAACATAGTCCATGTAATCGAAGACAGAATCGACATTTTTTTTTATTCTTTTGTTTTCACTTAACTTTACGTAAAATATATTTCTAGTGGTTCTGTGAGCTATGTACTCGTTTTCGTGTAGTTTTCTGTTATTTCTAAAATTTATATCTTGTAGTTTTCTCGTATGTAATAAATTAAAACAAGCTATGAAAATTATTCTATCTAAAAATGCTTTGGGTTGTTTAATATGTTATATAAAATTTGTTTATTTTACTAAATTAATATTATGTTATTATCGAGCAGATAAAAAATTAAAACCACTTAGAAAACCTATAACAAGTAATAAACTTTTATATATATATAATACTTATATCGTGCTAAATTTGCTAATTTGTGTTAAATTTGTTAATTTCCTGTTTTTGCATCAATTACATAATATAATATACGTAGGTTTTTATATACATAAAAATATCAACGCACGAACATGTACTCACCCTTCTAGTACAGTCGAACAGATGTGGATTAGTGTAAACGTTAATAATTATAAGATTATCATTGGTACTGCTTATCGACCTCAGTGGGCTAATGTCAATAGCTTCCTTGACTCACTTTCTGAATCAATAAGTTTCTTTTCATATTTTGATTATATAATATTATTAGGGGATTTTAATATAGACATCCTTAATCATAAGAATAGTAAAACTAGGGAGCTCAACACCTTCTGACGATATACAAATTTGGTGGAAATAGTATCTAAGCCAACTCATTACACTGACACAATTTCGTAGGCGTCAGCTGAAAATCAGCGCTACCTTAAACGTAGCTTTATGCTGAGCTGACTACCTTTTGGTCGTCGCATACACCAACTTTGTAGTTATTATCATTATTCATTATTATCTATCTTAGATTAGTTATTTTGTTCTCTTTTCTGTAGTATTTATTTTTATTTTTGTAAACGGTGTTTCTGGACGATCAATAAAGATTTTCTATTCTATTCTATTCTATTCTCCAATCAAAACGAACGGGCCGAACGAATTTTATTTACCAAAGATGGGTGCGCATATTCACGTCCATCAAACCATCACCACTCACCACCATCAAAAACGGTCCGCCCATTAAGACGAATCAAACTCGACGCGGTTGTGCCTTCTTATGTTCACTTTCCGACATGTATAGGCTGTTACTTTATTTTTACTTTACTTTAAATAGTTTGAGTTGTTAAACGCCTCATAAACCAATAAGTTCATCCGCCGCGCAACCAGTGGTATCAACGCAACGTCGACCTGTATAGCGATTGCAGACTCCCGACGATTCGCGAATATTTTTAGGACCTGACCAAACGGTTCTTCGATAGAGCCGAACATTATTCCAACCCTCTGGTGGTAAGAGCGGCAAATTACCATCCCGACATAAACGCGATCATCATCAAAGGGGACTTAGATACGTCGGACCCACCGTCAGTGGTCCCGCCGGATAACACTACACCCACAGCTAGTGTAACAACAAACACAATAGTTCACCCTCGCCTCCGAGCAAGGCGAGACCAACACAACGCGTACACAAGGTACACCCGCGTTCCAGGGCGGTTCTCACTGCCCCCAGCCACTGATTAGCTAAAAACACAGTCGACGGCCATCGGAGTCTCGGTCCGCACCGCAACCTCGATGGCCCTTAGATGCCGTAGTTAAACGCACGCATGAGCACATGCGCGGCCCTACCCATTTGCGGAGGGCCCAAACCCGTGGGTTCTGGCTAGTTCACCGGTTCTGCGTCAGATGAAGCTTTAATAGTCTCGGGACTGAAAGCACAAACATCAGTTAATACAACATACAAGCCTAATAAACGCCCCATATTTCGCCCCAAATTCTATCCTTGTTCTTGGGTTTCCCAAAACGAGCAAACATTCCCGATAACCTTTTGACTTGTTGGTTATCTATTGTGTTTGTGTTTAATCTGTCTCTGGCGCTTGTTTAAATATCGGGGGTTCGTAGGAAAAATGCCATTCCTCCGAAGACCCTTGAATATCGCGGGAGTAAAATGGAGTTCCAATTAACAGTACTGTTCCTCGCCGTTGTGTTCTGTTGTGTCGAATCAGGTAAGTTGACTTTGTTGAAATTTTAAACTTTTAATGGTTAGTTTTTATTTTATATGATATTATAAAGGATAAAATATATATTTAATAAGTAAAAATTAACAAAACGTCTAAAAAGATAAGTATAGATAATAAACATTATAAGATAAGATAAGACACAATATATGTTTTAAAAGTACCGCAACCGACTTGTTCCGTTTGTCGTATTTTATTTTAAAGTTTAAAAAACACATAATTATCATATGTTTCGTATTTATTTATTTAGTTAAAAATTCCACGTTATTCCGTGTATATTACGTGATCTAAATAAGATGAAACAAGTTTAATTTCACTCATTAGTTTATTAATAAGTAATTGAATTTGGCCCAACTAAAAAAAAAGGAAAATAACAGCCTATCCATAGAACGCCTGGTAAATAAACGGGTAGCACCACAATGGCACATTGCTAGTCGCGACGGAGCCCTCAAGCTCGGTGCCGACAGCCAGATCAAAGGCGATCATATAACGACGCCGTTGAGGGAATTGCTGAAGCTGAGGGATGGACGGGAGATCTTGATACTGAGCGGCGGCCACGGCAACGAGGAGGGCAACAATTGGGTGGAGGTGACGAACGTACGGAGGCCGTCGGAGCGCAGAACCATCAGAGCGCCCTGGCACTTTGACCCGGACTTCTGGGTTGATGACGTGCAGCAGTTCATGGGCCGCATTGGCGACGAGTTCCAGCCGATCAGGTCGCGTTTGCGGATCGTGGACATCGCCGAAATGCCGCTGTCAACATTCCTCGCGATGCTACTCGGCGACAGCCATGTCATCCTGGGCTTCTGCTTCGGGTGGAACGACCGCGCCTTCCGCTACTACCTCGGGTTACGCCCCGTCACCTCTATAGTTAACCCTAAACGCCTCTAGCCAGGCTAAAGATGGTTTCCTGTAGATATAAATAATTCCTTCTTTAGTCTCGTGTTTGTTTTAAGTCCCGCTTAGTAGTGGCAGTTCAATTGCAGTATATTTTGTATATATTTGTTGTATTTTTATCTATATATATAGTATTGTTATATTTTGTATTTTTATCCTACTATATCAATAAAACAAAGGTTAAAGTATAAACCAATTTCATTTATGAAACCTTTATTTTTTTAAGTACTTAAAATATGAGAAGGGAATTGTCACACACAAGTAAACAAATCAATCATTAACAACATCAGCATTTCTAAATCTATGTACTCACTACCTACTAAATACTTATGTACTATCAATTGGAACTCCATTTTACTCCCGCGATATCCAAAGCTCTCCCGGAGAAATAGCATTTTTCCTACGATCCCCCGATATTTATACAAACCGCAGAGGCAGATTAGCGACACAAACATAAAATGCGATAGTAAGCACACAATAGACAATCACCAAGATAAGGTTATCGGAAATATTTACACGTTTTGGGAAACCCAAAAACAAGGATAAGATTTGGGGTGAAATAGATTTATGAGGCGTTTAACCACTCATAACTATTTGAAGTATTATAAAATGTTTTTGGAGTATTCGTACCGATTTTGCGTTAAGAAGGCAAAAACGGGTAAGCTGGGGCGAGAAGCGACCTGGAGTAGTTGCTGAGCTTGGCTCTACCATAGTAGATGTAATACTGCATAGTAATATATAGTATTCAAACCATGATAATGGTAAATTTCCTCTACTTAGAACAAACGGTCAGCAAAAGTTCATCATTTCAAATAAACAACAATTGAGGAGGCATTCTGTGCTTGTAAATTAGGACAACTGCATTCGCTTATTACGCAACTTTCTTAAGCTAAAGTGATAAGTTACTAATTATTAAGTTACCGAAGTGATATTAAATTAACTTAGATTAGATGACTGTGGTAGGACCAAGCGACAACTTTGGCTCTTTCACGAACGGGCTGGTCCGTCCGGGTAGTGATGCGTCGCCACCTTTTAGTAAAGCCTGCCTAACTCACCTGACGATACACAGAAGTATAAAACTCCCACGTCACGTCGGTCTTCCGTGAGGTCATGGTACTTACCCAGACGGGCCTGCACATTCGTGCAATAGCAACGCAACTGAACATTGTTGCGTGGCCCTACAATAATCAAGTCCACCAACGATTGCTTTTCTGTGTTTTTGTTAACTGGAGATAGAATTTAGAAGTCAGAGCTAATGTCAAATCCCTATCGCTAGTAACCAAATCTACGGACACACATTCAAACATGCGTTACAGCATGGATTGCTTAAAGAGTCTTCTCTTTGCTCTTATCAACTAAACAAATTCCAACGTAGAGCACGTATTTCAGACGTAGTAACAACCTATAAATGTCCCACTGCTGGCCAAAACCCTCCTCTGTGAAGAGGGTATAGTCCACCACGCGACCCCACTGCGGTTTGGCGGACTTGAAATATAATTATTTCGAAAAAATAAAGGTTTCCTCGCGTTGTTTTCCTCCACCGCTGAGCACGAGATAAGTCAGCACTTAATACTAACAATTTCATCGGTGCCGACACCGGGGATCGAACTCAGGTGGCTCGACTAAATTGAATTAAAGGCGAGCGCCCGGAAACTGAGCTATCACGGTTTTTAGAGCCTATGCCTATGCCTCATTAATATTAATCGATAACTCAAATAACTTCCGCCTTATTTGCGTTTTTTTCGTCCAATGATATTTTTCGCTTTATTCTTTTTTTCGCTTCGTTAAGCTCCATCGGACTGAAGGTTGATGAGAATTGATCAATTCGAGATTAACTTATTTACTCTGTAATTGGAATATTGCTTTGACGTTTTATTTGATCTTCCTAGCATTGACTGATGTATGACGGTTATTTTGACAGAATGGCTTCTTGAGATGCATATATATCTGTCCGATACCAACTGTATCAACGCTTTGACCGTCGGCTGTTTGATTATTTATTTTTGTATCCGGTGTTACCCGAGCTTAGACCTCATAAATACGTAGTGAATCGTAGTAGATTAGACATGCTATCATCCTTCTGCCCTTATCCCACCTAGGTGGGGTCGTTCCAACATGTGAATCACTTTATAAGTAGTTTTGCCCATTTTGACCTGCATTGAACCCTCTTTGGGAAACAACCGGATCCGGAACAATCATCTGTGGGTCAGACAAATACTAGTCCCGTGTGGGAATCGAACCCGCGACCCCCGACACCGAAGCCAATACACCAGCAACGGCTTCATCGAGTAATCTAGAAAGGTGCTACATTTTTGTATGTTTATTTTATCTTTGCGCGGAATAAACATGAATGAGGAATGTGTTGCCGCCATATCCTACTAATTTGAATATTCCCGCATTAAGATGTCAATTACATTGAAAATCATACTTCCTTTAAATCCTTCACTCATTCATTCGCAACCGGCACTCTCGCCGTTCAAATCGCACGCACGGTGGACAATATATATAGTGTAACCGCTCGCCTTTAACACCGCATCAAAGCTTCGTCTGCTTTAAACTATTAACTTTATAAATCACGGCATTGAATGTGTAAATCTGTGTAACTGTTCATGACTTATAATCTGAGTGCCTCGCCGACTGAATCTGATAGAAGATTCGTCGCTGGAAGCCTCCAGGTCATTGCGCGCTCCATGCCGCTAATCCCGCTTATACTTTTTACGAAATAAACCCATTTCCGTACCAGAGTGAATCCTTTTCAGGGGCTAAATAAATGCTATACATAGCTAAACCAGTAAACGCAGGCATAACCGCCGTAAAAACCACAGCAAAGAGTTAATTAAGTTTGGAATTTTCGAATTTATTTTGGGAGTTGCCCAAACTTCAGTTTAATAATTCTCTGAGCTACAGAAGTTACCATTGTTCTACTGCGGATGTCTTTATTGCTAACCACTCTCTTAGAAACTTTAAAACGATTTATATTAAAAAAACTCTGCTCACCCCAACTACCGATATTCATTGCTTTCGAGGTTTTATCTCGAGTGCTAAAAGGCGTATCGCTTCCAGAATACTAATGAAGTCAACTTGTTAAACACTTTGCTGGAGTTTACTAATAATCAAATATTTAGCTTCGTATATCTTACATTTCAAATTAAATGGTTAAATTAGTTACCCAAGTTTATGGGCGAATGAAAACGATTTAGCTCTTATGCAGTCGTATTTTTATGTGCTAAAGTGGCAAACGTGCTGGCGATTCACCTGATGTTAAATCCGCCCATGGGTTTTTGCAACTCCCATAGGGTAGCAAATACCTTTGAAAAAAGAGGGCCCTGGCTACCTCACTCACCAGACGAAACGCAGAAGCGTAACACTTCTACTATACGCCTATAGTCGTGGTACTTACCCGGACGGATCTGCCCATTCGTACAACAGTGAACACTGTTGCGTGGCCCTACCAAAGTATATTAATTTAATAGCTTTGGACATTAGACTTTAGAGAGAGAAGTCCACCCGGGAACTCCTCAAATTCAATAGAAACTATACAGTGTCAAATTTCAAAACGAAGCTTCAAATATCTCATATACACTATACAGTAGTATATAGTGTTATTTGAAGTTTGTTTTGTTTTCTTATTTTTATTTTATGCGAAAAGTTGTCAAACGAGCAGACGGTTCACCTGATGTTAAGTGAATACCGCCGCCCATGGACATCTGCCACACCCGAGGGTTACAAATGCGTTGACAACCTTTTGAAAATTGGGCTCCGGCTACCTCACTCACCAGACGAAACGCGAAAGTATTTGTCACACTTCCACTTTACGTTGGTCTTCTGTGAGGTCGTGGCACTTACCCGGGCGGGCCTGCCCATTCGTGCAACAGCCGAGGCTGCTGCGAGGCCCTACCACCGTAGGGCCTCCGCACTGACTCCGAGTTGAAAACTGACTGACTAAAAACCGGTGTCGGGATTAGAACGATTTAAGTTTCCGATAACTCAGCACCTAACATTAACAAATTCATTGGTGCTGGCACCGGGGATCGAACTCAAGTCGCTCGAGTAAATTAAATTAAAGGCGACCGCTCCGACACTTAGCTATCACAACCAACCTAAATATATAGCTACCACATATGTATTTCATAGACTACATCTGAATGACAGTCACAAAAATTTAAGAGTTCTACACTAGAATTCTTTCACACCGTGATCATACAGTAACGAAAAATTTTTCAATATTCCTTTGCAAAGGGCAAAATATATCAGTCTGTTTGATAAATATGACCCAACGACGCAAGTTAAGTCGTGCGCGAATATATTAAATGAAAATATCCGATTCTGATAATATTTAAAGCCAAATAACATGTTTATAAATGTGAGCCGGTGATATCAAATATTGAAAGTTTAACATTTCGAGAGGAATTATGGTAGTTACCGTTGTACTATCGTCTCGATTGAACCGTCAACATAAAAAAAATAAGCTTGTGAAAATGCGAAACACAATAACATTATTTATATCATATTATACGACTGACGAGGATAGTTATACATTAAAACAAACCAAGCTAGACTTGGAATCCCAATGGTGGCGTTTTTTTCGGCTTTTTAGGGTTCCGTACCCAAAGGGTAAAATGGAACCCTATTAATGAGACTCCACTGTCTGTCTGTCCGTCTGTCACCAAGCTGTACTTCATAGCCCGTGATAGTTAGTTGAAATTTTCACAGATGATGTATTTCTATTGCCGCTATAACAACAAATACTAAAAAACAGGATAAAAATATTTAAGTGCGGCCCATTCAACAACAACATGGTTTTTTGCCGTTTTATAGATAATGTTACAGAGACCTTCTTGCGCGTGTCCGATTTGCACTTGACCGGTTTTTATTTTTCTTCCATTTATTATTTATGCTTTATTGCTAACTTTAAGAAAAAAAAAGGTAACAAAGGGCGAACATAATGCCCAAAGGCATTCAACCCAGGATGTAGTGAAAGTTTGTTTATG